GAAAGGGACGAGGGACCTCGGCATCACCTACCAACGGGGATCGGGGTTAGGGGATGGCCGTATACGTAGACGCTAGCTACGCCGACACGGAGGATAAGCGTTCGGTGTCAGGGTTGGCGACGACGGTTGGCGGTGCCGCAGTCAGCCATGGTGGCAAGACACAGGGCATCGTGTCTCTGTCTTCGACGGAAGCCGACATAATTGCTGCCGGGAGGGCGTCAAGGAGGCGCTGTTTGTGCGTGCTGTGCTTTCGTTTGTTGCCCCAGAGACCAGTGGTAGCAGCATCCAGGTCCTTGAGGACAAACAGGGGGCCATAGCGTTGGTGCAGAACCCCGTCAGCTCNAGATCCTCGGCTACCTGAAAGGGACGAGGCACCTCGGCATCACCTACCAACGGGGATCGGGGTTAGGGCTGGCCGTGTACGTAGACGCTAGCTACGCCGACACGGAGGATAGGCGTTCGGTGTCAGGGTTGGCGACGACGGTTGGAGGTACCGTAGTCAGCCATGGTAGCAAGACGCAGAGTATCGTGTCTTTGTCTTCAACGGAAGCCGAGTACATTGCTGCCGGGGAGGGTGTCAAGGAGGCGTTGTTTGTGCGTGCTGTGCTTTCGTTTGTTGCCCCAGAGACCAGTGGTAGCAGCATCCAGGTCCTTGAGGACAAACAGGAGGCCATAGCGTTGGTGCAGAACCCCGTCAGCTCAGGTTGCACGAAACACATCGACGTGAGATTTCATTTCATCCGCGGATTGTTTAGGTCGGGGGATATTTCGGTCAAGTTCGTTCCGACAACAGAGCAACACGCGGACCTTCTAACCAAGGCCCTTCGCAGGGCTAGTCTACAGTACCACCGGCGCAAGTTGATGAATTCGCCGTAGTAGCTGTAGCAGCTTCTAGCACTTGGGAGAGGTCATGTTTTCCATGCGGGGCAAGGTGTTTGCGGCCTACGCCACTTATTTATCGGGTGAGACTGTTTTGGTGATGTATCAACTTCACGAGAGGTAGACGACCTTCCTTCACACGGACAAAAGACGAGAGAAGGAGTGCTCAAAGAGCGGCTCGCACAGCAACGAGGGGCCCCGTGAATCATCGCGGTGCCCCCTACAAAACAGTAATCTTATCAGTCTGGGTCACACTAAATCATCCAGCACATGTATCCAACACCAATGTTCGCAGACCCACGAACA